TTATCCATCAGATTTTGTCCGGGCTGCCTTCCACATCTCATAGCGAGGGGGTGGAGATGCAAGGTCAGTAGACTCAACTCCTGTTGACTCTTCTCTGGCTTTCATGAGACGTTGCTCCAATAATGCATACCCTCCTCGTGACAATACATGGGGTGCATCATTCAACCTCTAACGTTGTTGGGCAACACGTCTTTTATCCTACCAAGAGGGGTCCATTCGGCTGGCACAAAACTGTAACCAATCCTCCTCACTAATTTGATACTTTAGACAAGGAGATTCATCTTGAAACTTTCCAAATACATACTCCCGTGTCAAGAAAGTCTTAAAGTCCCTCGATCTAATGGCAATGGAGGATAAAACCTTCTTCCTCATCACCTCAGTTTTAGGAACATCAAAATTTTGCTGTGAAATGACCAATAAATGTTAAATTCAATTAATAATGATATATAAAGTATTCAACAAATATAAAAATACCTGAACATCCTGCCACATGAGATTCTTCTCGGTTTCCTCTACATCATCCCAAGATGGAGTAGTAATCAGAACATGGTGTCGAGCTAGTAGTCCCAAATAGCTCTTAAACTTAGCAGCATTTGGGTCAGATGCCTTACCAGAATGTGGATCAACTTCAACTTGAGTTTTCTCTCTAGCTACCCTCCTTGCTGTCAACCCCTTTAACCGAGTGACAGATCTACCTTTACCTCCACTTCCGCTCCTGCCACTACCACTACTAGCACCAAATGTGGAATCCGACATATCCTGAAAAACAAAACAATATGAAGTCAACATACTTTATAAGTTTGAATAAAAAGAACTAGAATATGTGAAGATAAACACCTATTATGTTGGTATGTTTTCCCATATCCCTTCATCATGATCACTTCGAATTGCATGTATGTCATCAACTTCATTGTCAACTATGTCATCAAATGGTCTACTTGAAAATGAAGGTGTTTCATGTATATCTAGAGACTTATCTTCATGAATTCCGTGCATGCTTCTTCCTTCAAGGACAATTGACCATCTCTCATTACATGGATCCTTGACATAAAATATTTGTCTCGCTTGATATGCCAAAATAAAAGGTTCATCCTTATACCCAACTTTACTCAAATCAACCAAAGTAAATCCTAGGTCATCTGTTTGCACACCCGTATTACCTTCAACCCATTTACACTTGAAGACAAGCACCCTAAAAGTAACATAATCAATTTCCCATATCTCTTGTATGACCCCAAAATAACTCATAGAAGTTATGATAGGATTTTTGTCTTTAGAACTAGAAAAATGCATAGATTCAGCTTGAATTGTGACCCCACTATTTTGTACTCTACCTTTATCATCTTCTATTTTTGAGTAGAAACAATAATTATTAATGTCATACCCACCAAATGTAATGACATCACTATTAGGCCCACGAGCAAGTCTCAAAAGTGTTTCTGAAACATTAATCTCAACATATACCCTTTTTTTAAACCAAGAAAGGAAACTTTTGTTATGTTCATTCAATACCCATTTTTCATTCATTCGTGGATGTGTTGCCTTTATTTCAGTTATGTGTTGTGATATGTAAGGGATTAGTTCATCAGTGTTGTTCAATATGTATAAATGTACTTGGTCAACTTCTTTCCGACTAACATTTTTAATCTTTAAATTTCGAGTACCCTTACCTTCACATCTTCCATCATGTCTCATCTTAGGAATACCTATTGGTTCTGATTTTGACATGTATCCTAAACAAAACTCAATGGCTTCTTCTGCAATGTACCTTTCCACAATAGAAGCTTCTGGCCTGTACTGATTCTTCACATATCCTTTTAAGATCTTCATGTATCTCTCAACAGGATACATCCATCTAAGAAAAATTGGACCACATAACCAAATTTCCCTTACCAAATGGACTATCAAATGCACCATGATATCAAAAAATGAAGGGGGAAAATACATTTCTAACTGGCACACTATTACAATTGCTTCATTTTCTAATTCATCTAACTTTTTTGGATCAATTACCTTTTTACAAATGGCATTGAAAAACAAACATAACCGAGTAATAGCAATTCTAACAGAAGTTGGTAAGATGTTTCAAATAGCCACTAGTAAAAGTTGTTGCATCAACACATGACAATCATGAGACTTTAAACCAACTAATTTCAACTCTTGCATAGACACAAGACTCTTAACATTTGAGGAGTATCCTTGTGGCACTTTGACCTCACGTAAACACTCACAAAAGCTTCTCTTTTCTTTCTTTGATAGAGTATGACAAGCTGGAGGTAAGTAAGTGCGTTTTCCAACTGATTGTGGATGTAATTCAGAACGTATACCCATGTCTGCCAAATCTTGTCTTGCTTTTATTCCATCTTTTGTCTTTCCTTTTATGTTAAGCAATGTCCCAATTATACTATCACAAAAAAAATTTCAACATGCATCACATCTATACAGTGTCTAACTTCCAACTTACACCAATAAGGAAGATTGAAGAATATAGACTGTTTCTTCCAAATGTTTTTCTCATTGGATTTCTTTTGGGTCTTTCCAAACACAATATTAATATTTTTCACTTGCTCATATACTTGTTCACCATTGCGTGGTACTGATGCAATTGCATTCTCCTGACATCCATTAAATGTTTTTTTCATTTTACGATATGGATGATTAGCAACTAGAAACTTTCTATGCCTATTGTACGCAGTTTTTTGTCCATGTTTTAATTGGATATAACTTGTGTCTTCTTGACATAAAGGACACGCTAAATGACCTTTCACACTATAACCGCTCAAATTACCATATGCTGGAAAATCATTTATAGTACAAAATAACATTGCACGCAACCTGAAATTCACTTCGTGATATGAATCAAATACATCCACTCCTGTTTCCCATAACATCTTCAAATCATCAATTAAAGGACTAAGATATACATCTATGTCATTTCCTGGTTGTCGAGGTCCTGAAATCATCATAGATAACATCATATATTTTCTTTTCATGCATAACCAAGGAGGCAAATTGTAAATGATCAACAAAACTAGCCATGAACTATGTTTACTACTTAAATTTCCATAAGGATTCATCCCATCTGTAGCTAATCCAATTCTCAAGTTTCTTGGCTCTGCACCAAATTCTGGAAAGGTTTCATCAATCCTTTTCCATTGTGGAGAATCAGCTGGATGTCGAAGAAGATTGTCACATTTTCTACCATTTGCATGCCATGTCAAGTTTCTTGCATCTTCTTTTATGGCAAATAATCTTTTAAACCTAGGTATAATTGGCAAATACCATAACACCTTAGCAGGGGGACCATCTAGTTCTTCCTCACCACTACTTTCCTCAACTTTGTTTTTGAACCTCGACAAACCACATGTCGGACACATCTTTAATTTAGCAAAATCGTTTCTGTACAATATACAATCATTAGGACATGCATGTATCTTCTTGTACTCTAAACCCATTGGACATAATATTTTCTTTGTCTCATAGTTAGGAATAGGTAATGTATTATCTTCAGGAAGCATCTCCTTCAACAACTCCAATAAATCGGTGAAACTTTTATCAGTCCATCCATTTCTTGCTTTTAAAGTAAACAATTTTAAAGTTGCTGATAATCTTGTAAAACTACATCCTATGTACAATTGTTGCGCAAAATCAGATTTCAAAGAATCATATAGATGTGCTTTCATAAAATTTTCTTCACCAATATCACGTATCATATCCTCTAGATTATCATCCATCCCTTCATCAAAATTGTCTATAGTTGACACAGCTGGGATGTCTAATATTTCTCCATGCCATATCCATATTGTATAACTCTAAATAATACCATAAACAAACAAGTGATCACGTATATCCTCAAGTTTATGACGAATTTGATTCAAACAACGAACACATGGACAATAATATGTCCCTTTCATAGCTTTTCCATTTTCACTAGAAAATTTCAAAAATTTCTCAACTCCCTTTTCGTACTCTTCACTAATACGACATGCATTCATCCAACTTCGATTCATATTATGTTATAAAGTTTCGTCATTCCTAGAGATTTAAAAATTATATGTAAAAAGAAATTAATATACAAACAACAAAGCACGTAAATGGAGTGTGTAAACCGAAAATGCACTCAAACAAATAATTACATTCCAATAACAATCAAGTGGAGACATTCATACAATAACGTGATTGAGATCCCCAAAAACAATCACGGATTCAATTTAAACATATAGCAATGACATAGAACACTAACCTCGAGTGTAGACGAAAAATGATTTCAAACTCGAATCCAATCGGGGAGAAATATCAAGTTCGTAAAATGACACACAATGTTGATGTTTTTCACTGTCAAACTGATCGAAAATGGTGTGCAGAGGTAGCTGTTGTCATCGTTCTCGTCGTCGTTCTCAAAAACCCTTGCTGCGCGAGACCAGGGAGTGGGTCTGGGGGGAAATAAAAGGGACTTTTTACGTCGCGCACCCCAGCACGCGACGTAAAAATCCTTCTTTTACGTAGCTGCGACATAAAAGAGGCTTTTTACGTCGCGTGTTGGGGTGCGCGATGTAAAAGTTTTGTCTCTTATTTACAAAATTGTCACCGCGTTTTATTTACGTCGAATATTTTTACATGCGACGACAATTGGGTGACGTAAAAACCCTTTTTTTCACTAGTGATCCCTCTAGCAAAAAAAAAATTATAAAAGTATTTTTAGTTTTTATAATAATTATTTTAAAATTTATGACGATTAATTACAATTAAATATAAAACTACAGATTATAGCCACAAATTACAAAAAAAAAAGCCAATTATCTTTATACATTAATTTTCGATTTGTTTTTCTGTATCGAATTATTTCTTCTTCTTTAGCATCGCATTCTTTATTAAATTTTTATCCTGCAGTCCTAAGCTAAGTCTCGTTACTTATGTATGGGCTTCTAATCTAAGGTACCTCCGTCCCTTGAGATATGAGTTTACCAGTGTTGGATTTCATCGGTGTTTAAAAAGAAATATCAGAAGTGGAAGCCCAGTATAGTAGGAGGGGTGGGAGTCGTCGTAGCACTACCAGTTATTGCCCTTACAAATAGAGTGTCATCTCCTTCTCCTGCCATTCCTGCCTGTTTCTTGTGAGCCAATTGGAGAAAGTTTACGTGGAGTTTCATTTCTTCCTACCTACGAGCTACTTCGACTTCTAGGGGTTAGAGTCCCTAAGGCTAACAAGCAAGTTAAGTCAATGTTGGTGTAAGTCAACCATCGGGAGTTGCTTGTATCTCTAAGAGCATCTCGAACTGAGAATGCTTAAAAAATATTTACAGTTTGCTTCAAACAACTATTTTATTGGAGAAAATTAGGTGACAACTATTTTATTTGAGGAAATTACATGACATACAGTGTTACTCCGTCTCAACAGAAAAATACTTAGAGAAATAATTAATGCTTCAAATAAAATATTATTATTTGTTGTCCATCTCAACAGAAAAATAATTAATGCTTCAAATAAAATATTATTATTTGTATCTATTTCAACAGACACAAAAAATCAAATTCAAACCCACTAGAAAAATCATCAACAAGCATAAGAGCCATAATAAATTTGTCATAATCAACCAGCCTACTATAATTTTCTTAGCAACCATTACTAACCTCCTAATTTACCCAACTTCATCTTCACCTCAACCTCTCTCGTTCGCAACCTCAACAAAAAAAAATATTCTTGAATGTGTATCAAGGAACTCAATCAACAAAATAAATTCATCAATGTTAAATAATAAGTAATTTATTTTCATTTAACTTCTAATCAAAAGCATAAAAACTTATCAATGGACAAAGAATTCACAAAGTGAAACCAAAACAAGAGAGCCACACAAATTGAAGCTCTTGTATCTCTAGAATTCTCTGCAAATTGAAAATATTTGTCTCATATATTCCTTCATATAGATATATTGTGCGAACAGGACACCAGGCAGTTGCCCCTTGATCTTCAAAGGTAACTTATCCTCTATTGACAACAAGCCTGCAAATGAAGTTATCATCGTCTTGAATTCAATTACAACGAACGCAGAAGCAATGGTCGCGGAGGCAGCGAACGTGGAGGCAAATCTAAGAGAGGAGATCTGGAGAATGAGAGGTGAGGGGAGAAAGAGGGGTGAGGTGAGAATGAAATCCGCAAACATGGAGGCAGATCTAAGAGAGGAGATCTGGGGAATGAGAGGTGAGGGGAGGAAGAGGGGTGAGATTGAAATTTGCGAACACGGAGGCAGATCTAAGAGAGGAGATCTGGAGAATGAGAGGTGAAGGGAGGAAGAGGGGTGAGACTGAAAAAGAAAATGGAGAATGAAGATGGAGAAAGGAGACTTGAGGGAGCATAGTGCATGTTGAGAAGAAAATTGGACCGTTACAAATTGTACCGTTACTAAAAAAAAAGTAGTCATTCGTCAGTCACAACAAAAAGTAGTTGTTCGTTGAAACTTATTTTTACATTATAAAATCTCCATCAATGGTAAAAAAATTTCACATTTTCTTCATCTCCTCATTTTTCTTCTTCTCCAATTATGGATTCAATCAATTTAATTATCAGTATTATTATAATTTATTGCAAAATCATTCATCTATTACTGGTGAAAATTCTCAAAATTCCCAAAATTATATTTATCCACCACCATTTTTTATGTTTCCACTACCTCTAATAACATCAAATATGAGTAATATTCCTCCTTCATCCAACATAGAACCTCCTTCTTCGATTGGACTCAATAATATCCAACTTGATGAAAACTGTGAAAATATGTCTTAGAGGAAACCTCGTGTACCTTCTCAATACCATATTGTTGGAGTTGATTAGTCATTAACCCAATATTAGGAGCGGATCAAAGAAGCATACAACAATGACGACGAACATAGCATTTTCACAAATAGGTCAGTGAGTCAATTAAAATCTCGATGGAGTAAACTTCACCCTACAGTTCAAAAATTTAATGCATGTTATAAACAAGCTACCAATCAAAGGAAAAGTGGCTGGACTGAGAAAGATGTTATGTCATTCTCACATAAGATTTTCATAAAAGATTCGAAAGGAAAAAATTTCAATTTGAACATGCTTGGTTGTTGTTAAGAGATGAACCAAAATGACAATAAGCATTTATGAATGATTCTTAAAAAAGATGCAAGATTTCTACTTCAAGCGCATACTCATCGTCTTCTAGCCTAGAGACATCGCACGAAGTTGAAGAATTTAACACAACATCACCAATATCTTGCCCCATAGGATAAAAGGCAGCCAAGAGAAAGCGCAAAGGAAAATCCAGTGCAAGTGCTATTCCCCATATTGATTTATCTAACATAGAAAATGCAATAAAGGAAAAAAATACAAAGTTTGATGAATTGATTGAGTTAAAAAAGTCACAAGAAATAATGTGTTTTGAGTATGAAATTCTCATTAAGGACACGACTAACATATTTGAGAAGCAACGTGAAGATCATGAAAAATATTGTAACTATATTAGACAAAAATGAAGATTTTAAATATATTAGCCATTATGATTACTAATTATATTCGTTTGAAAAATGTATTAGATATGCACAAATGAAAACTAGTCATTGTAAAATTATATGTTGTAAAACTAGTCGTTGTAAAAACTAGTCGTTGTAAAATTAGTCGTTATAAAAACTAGCCATTGTAAATTTAGTCGTTGTGAATCTATATATAGTTTTGGAATGTCATGTACTGTCTCACATCTTATAGTATTACAATATTATTCTCAATTTTCAAACACTTCAATTATCCATACAATAGAATTTGAAAACATTGATTTAGATGCATTATTGGATCAAGCCATAGATGGAGAACTCAGATAATTATGAGATTACTACTTGAGTACTGACAACAAGTCAACAACAATGGTGGTGACGTACAAACACTACAAGAAAAAACACATTTAGCAACTGAAAGTAGCGACCAAATTTTTTCGGTCGCAATTAGCGACCGATTTAATTTTGGTCGCAATTAGCGACCGATTTAATTCGATCACAATTAGCAATCAATTTAGCAACCGCTTTAATTCGGTCGCAATTAGCGACCGAGTTAATTCAGTCGCAAATTTAGCGACCGATTTTTTCGGTCGCTAAAATGATTTTTTCTTGTAGTGAAAGAAGAAAGGTAGTTTATCGAAATCATGAAGAAAGTCATCATCAATTGTTCAATGACTATTTTGCTGAAAATCTAGTATATATGGAATCTCAATTTCGAAAAAGGTTTCGTTTCGAAGGGAGATTTTTGTCAAAATTTTCGAAGCCCTTGGTAATCACGATTATTACTTTACACTAAGGTTACATACAACACGAAGAAAATGTCTATCACCTTTGCAAAAGTGCACTGTTGTTATTCGCATATTGACTTATGGCTTACGTGCTGATAATGTGGATGAATATATTCACATTGGTGAAAACACTACAGTAGAATGCTTACAATGATTATATCGGGCATTTGTGCAGTATTTGGAAATGAGTATTTAAGGAGGCCTAACAACAAAGACATTGATCAACTACTACAAATGGGAGTCACACGTGGCTTTCAAGGTATGTTAGGATCAATTGATTACATGCATTGAGAATGGAAAAATTGTCCAGTTACATGGAAAGACCAATTTTGTTGAGGTGATCATGTTAACCCGACAATCATTCTCGAATCTATAGCATCACAAGACTTGTGGATTTGACATGCATTTTTTGGTAATGTAGGGTCAAATAATGATATTATTGTGTTAAATGCATCTAATGTGTTTAATGAAGTTATGTCAGGTTTTGCACATACGGTACACTACACTGTGAATGAAACCCAACATGATATGGGATATTACTTAGCAGATGGTATTTATCCAGATTTTGTCATATTTGTGAAAACTATTTCAATGTCACAAGGACAAAAGAGAAAATTATTTGCTCAACTATAAGAGTCAGCAAGAAAGAATGTTAAACATGCATTTGGAGTTCTTCAATCTCGATTTGCAATTATACCTGGCCCGACACATTTTTGGGATGCTCAAGAACATAATTTATGCATGTATCAATATTACACAATATAATTGTTGAGGACGAACGACACACTTATCAAAATCATATTGATTATGATATTAGGAAAAATAAGATGTCAACTATTAATATATCTTCAAGTTTTCATCCTAGTTTTATATCTACATACTTTCAAATGAGTGTAGCAGTTCAAGATAGAAATACTCATCACTAACTTCATGCAGATTTAGTAGAATATATTTGACAAAAGTTTGGAGAAGAAAATAGTGAAATTTAATTTTATGTATTACATTTTTTAGTATTATTTTATTTTTATTATATTTATTTAAATATTATGTATTTTTTATATTATTTTTATATTAAAATAAGATATTATATTAATTAAAGTAATTAATTATTTAATGTATATATTTATTTTTATAGAAAATATTAAAATAATATAAAAATATATAAATTAATGAATTATTAAAAATTGCTTAAAAGTTTTACCAAATGAGAATTGTTTAACATGATAGTGTGGAACCTTATTTCACCATTTTCTAAGGTGAAGTATCTTTTGAATTTACGCATTGGCAATACTCTATGCAGGAATAGTTTGCGAGCTAGTTGCACCGACGAGTTGCAGCTTGTTTTACTTGGTAGAGTCTACCCTTCCCATTCTTCGATGAAGACGGTGGCTCCATACGGCTAAATTTAGAATATCGAATTCATAGGCTAAAGGGAAGATTAAAGAACAATGTACACTTGAATTCAAAGAGTTAATAAAATGATTTTGTTTGCAAGCCATTCAAAAATAATTAATGAGAAAGAAAAAGAAAAAAAAAACATTATATGTAACGACCCTAGAAATCGTTACTATAATGATGTCTTCGCAAAGTAGTAAACAAGTAAATAACAACATCTATTTTACATTATATTACTGTAATTGTAACATATATTGAAATTTCAGTTCACTAACGGAACTTCAAAATATAGTAACATAATTTATTTATATATTATACATGTAAAAGTAGCTCCCTCGAAGCTATCCCACTGAACTATCCTTGTTGTCCAGTAGTCACATCACCATCTCTCAACTCCTGATCTGCTCCCACATAAAAGTGATCATCGCAGTCCCATCCACATGAAAAAATAGGGGTAAGTATTAAATCATTCGATATAATAAAACAAATATAGAAGTAATAATTATATATTATGATCAATTACGAAATTATCAACACACTAAGACACCTTCCGGAAGTATACCGTAACAATGCCCGAACTCGAGGCTATCATCTCGTGGGCACATTGTGATCGGTACCTGCAGTACCATTCGACCACCCTCCACACAGAGTAGGATTACTGGCGCCCTTCATCACTCATACTGGAGTACCCCTCCGAGCACGCTACCAGTCATCCCCCCATCGACTTCTCACCACCTGATCTCGTAGTCTACCTAACCCGACCAATCAGTGAAGTTTAGGACCTCATTCAGAATCCTCCGACATAGTATTTGACTGATTCTGGCACCAACCCTCCGGCTCAGTCTAGCCAATATATAACGTCTCAGGACTGATTCTGGGCATCAGCCCTCAGGCTCAGTCTGACCCACACACGTCACAACACACTACTTTCATTCTCTCTCTCTCTTTATATATATTTTTTTCTAAAATCATTTTCGAAATCATTTTCGAAATCATTTCGAAACTATTTCCAAAACTATTTCGAAACTATTTTCGAAATCATTTTCGAAATCATTAAATTACTATTTTACCCTTAATTTTTTCTTAAAATTCCATGTATGTCCCTAAATGACTATTTTACCGTTGGACATTTTTGAAAATTCCTTCCATGTCCCGAAAATGACTATTTTATCGTTGAACAATTTTGAAAATTCCCTTTATGTCCCTAGGATGTAAAATGACTATTTTGCCCTTGAACATTTTCAAAAATTACATTTATGTCCCTAGGATGAAAAATGACTATTTTACCCTTGATCTTTTTTAAAAATCTCCACCATATCCCTTTCTTCTTCCTTCGCCCCGAGTAATACTATCGAAATTTGCAGATTTTGGCCAATTTCAAATTACTCGATTTTAGACAACCAAACTAGTCCCAAATCGAAATTAAACATGAATTATATCTAATTTAAGTTGAAAACAACAATTTTACTATATAATTCATCCTTAATTTCAAGAATTTAATCAATATTTAAAACTTTGCAAAATATGAATATTAATCACCTCCAAGTACGCCATTTTCAAAATCCAGGTTTCAAATTTCTCAGTTTCAATCACCCAAATTAGTTCCAAATCAAAATTAAACCATAAACATGTTCAATTTAAGTTAAAAACAACAATTTTATTATATAATTCATCCTTAATTTCAAGAATTTCAGAAACTTTCAAACGGTGAACAGTTCATCAGAATCAGAAATTCTTCAAAATCAGACATTCAAATAATTCATATCTCTACTCCTATTCCTTATTCGCAGAGTACCCAACAATTCAATTTCATATATTGAATGAATTAAACTTCCTCTTACTTGGTATGGTATTTCTACCGAAGCTTTCCCACTTAATTCAAGCTCTCTCCTGTTTCACCGGATCCCGCACGAGTAGAGTCTCGTTGCTTGAAATTTAGACAATAGAAGAAGAAGGATGAGAGGAAAATTTTGATTCTCCTCCTCCCCCGCTTCAGTATGCATGTATAAGAAAAAAATTTACTGTGCATGAGGAAAACTTCGTTGCAAAGTTTTCTTGCACAATAATATTAATATAATATTAAAATAAGGCATACGTCACAATCTCCCCTCCACAAAAATTTTCGTCCTCGAAAATGAACTTACTTGGAAATAAATATGGATAAGACTCTCGCATCTGATCCTCCATCTCCCAAGTGAAGTCTTCGGATTTCTGATCCCATACTACCTTCACCATTGAGATAGTTCTACCTATAAGTTGCTTCAGCTGAGAATCCTCTATCCTCACTGGTCTCACATCAACGAAGATATCGTCTCTAATCTGCACATCGTCTGACTCCAGGACATGACTGGGGTCATGTACATATTTCCTCAACTGAGATACATGAAATACATTGTGCAGATTCGCCAAATGAGGTGGCAACGCTAACTGATATGCCACTGGACCTACCTTCTTCAAAATCTGATATGGGTCAATAAACTTGGGAGTCAACTTCTTAGATTTAATTGCCCTTCCTACTCCAGTAGTAGGTCTGATTCTCAAAAATACATGGTCTCCCCCCTCAAATTCCAAAGGTCTCTTCCTCTGGTCCGCATATGATTTTTGTTTACTCATAGCGGCTCTCAGCTTCTCTTGTACCTCCCGGATCTTCTCTGTAGTCTGCTGGAGTAGCTCAGGTCCAATCAACACTTTCTCCTCATCCTGATACCAACATAAAGGTGTTTGACACCTCCTCCCATAAAGAGCCTCATATGGTGCCATTTCGATACTGGCATGATAGTTGTTATTATACGTGAACTCTATTAATGGAAGGATATCATCCCAACTTCCTAGATTATCCAACACACAAGACCTCAACAAGTCTTCTAGTGACTGGATGGTCCTCTCTGACTGTCCATATGTCTGGGGGTGATAGGCTGAACTCAACCTAAGTCGGGTACCTAATGCCTCTTGTAAAGTCTGCCAGAATCTTGAAGTAAATCTAGGATCCCTATCCGAGATAATGCTAGATGGTACCCCATGTAATCGAACAATCTCGCGAATATATAGTTGTGTCAGCTTAGCCATAGATATCCTCAGATTTACGGGGAGGAAATGTGCACTCTTCGTCAATCTGTCCACTATCACCCAGATCGAATCGTGCCCCCGAATTGTTCGTGGTAAATGGGTAACAAAATCCATGGTAATGCTATCCCACTTCCATTCAGGTATCTCCATTTGCTGTAGGATTCCTCCCGGCCTCTGGTGTTCCACCTTTGCTTTCTGACAAGTCAAACAAGCAGCCACATACTCTGCAATATCTCTCCTCATACCAGACCACCAATAAACCTTCTTCAGATCTTGATACATCTTAGTCATGCCAGGGTGTAGACTCATACGACTTCGATGACCTTCATCTAGTATTGCTCTCCTCAATTCTTGGTCAATAGGAATACAAATCCTTCCTCTGAATCTTAGAATATTATCCTCACCCATCTTGTAGTCAATGGTCTGCTCGGATCCTAACTGATCCATAACACCTTTCAACGTCATATCACCCTGTTGTCTATCTCTGATCATCTTGAGAAAATCATTAGTAATGGTAATGCTACCACAACTAATGCTAGTATCACGAAACTCTACATCTAGATGCAGATCCTTGAACTGCTCAAGTAATCTTAATTCATCCATCATCATTGCTGACATATGAACTGTCTTCCTACTCAAGGCGTCAGCCACCACATTCGCCTTTCCTGGATGATAAAGTAACTGAAAGTCATAATCCTTCAGAAACTCCATCCATCTTCTCTGTCTCATATTTAGCTCCTTCTGATCGAATAAATACTTCAGGCTCTTGTGATCACTAAAAACTTCAAATCTGACTCCATAAAGGTAATGTCTCCACATCTTGATAGCAAACACCACTGCTGCTAGTTCTAAGTCATGAATGGGATAATTCCTCTCATGAATTCTAAGTTGTCTCGACGCATATGCCACCGCCCTTTTAAGTCATGAATGGGATAATTCCTCTCATGAATTCTAAGTTGTCTCGACGCATATGCCACCGCCCTTTTATCTTGCATCAAGACACAACCTAACCCCTGAATAGAAGCATCACAATATACCTGAAAAGATTAAGTCACATATGGGATCACCAACACTGGGGAACTAGACAACCTTCTTTTCAACTCCTGGAAACTCTCCTCACATCTATTTGTCCAAGCAAAAGGTTGATCTTTACGGGTCAACTGTGTCAAAGGAGCTGCTATTTTAGAGAAACCCTCTATAAATTTTCGGTAGTATCCTGCAAGTCCAACAAAGCTACGCACTTCCGTCACTGTCTTAGGGGGTTCCCATTTTAACACTGCATCTACCTTGGCAGGATCTACAGATATCCCTTCTGCCGATATTACATGTCCCAAAAACTGCACCTGTTCTAACCAAAACTCACATTTTGAAAGCTTGGTATACAATTGTTTCTCTCTTAACACAGCCAACACCGCCCTCAGATGTTCCTGGTGTTCTTCTCGAGTTCTAGAATAAATAAGAATGTCGTCTATAAAAACAACAACAAACCTATCTAAATAAGGACGGAAGATCCTGTTCATATAGTCCATAAATACTGCAGGTGCATTTGTTACTCCAAACGGCATGACCACATATTCATAATGGCCATATCTCGACTCGAACGTCGTCTTACGTACATCCTCTTCTTTAACCGGATATCGATGGTATCCAGATCTCAAATCAATCTTAGAAAAGATTGATGCTCCCTGTAACTGGTCTAATAAATCATCAATCCTCGGCAACGGGTACTTGTTCTTGATAGTCACCTTGTTTAGTTGCCGGTAATCAATACACAACCTGGAGCTCCCATCTTTCTTCTTTACTAGCAATACAGGAGCGCCCCAGGGAGATACACTCGGGAGAATGAACTTCTTTTCCAGCAAATCCTCTACCTGTTTCTTCAATTCAGCCAATTCTGCTGGAGCCATACGGTATGGTGCCATAGAGATTGGGCCTGAACCAG